CTGAAGGCCTAGGACTGGGGCAATGGTGCACGTGCCCACAGAGAGGGCTCTGCATGCCACCTGTGGCACACGTGCCATAGGTTCGCCACCACGGGAGTATACTGTACACTACATCTTGATTCTCTGTGCCTATTCTAAAGCAAAATGCCCTTTAGCTCAAACTTTCCCTAAAAATATTTTCACATCATCCCTTAGAATTGGACTGATATCTCATTTGGCCGATTACTGGGAAAAAAAGACTTCATTTGAAAATATCACAGAAAAGGAAGATACAAGTATCCCTTGACTAAAAATTGTAATGGACCCTATCTATTGCAGTTATTAGTCATGAGGGTCATTAGGTGAGATGTCTATGAGATCGCCTCACCAAATGATCCCAATCCAGGAATTCCGACTGCTCTGAAATGGCACTCGCTTCCAGGATGACCCTTTATGGCTTCCAGGAAGGGTGAGGAGTGGAGCAGCCAGCCACTCTGGAACACAGTCTCTGGAATTCATGGTGTCTACTCTCAAAATGGCACTGCTTCTGGGGTATCAACACATCACCTGTACATCTTTCTACACCTGTTGGGTAGGCTGTGTAGGGTGTGTGGCAGAGTATCTGCTTCCCAAAGATCTACTGAAAAGGTAAGTGACCGATTTGTGATGGAGGGTGGGGAGGGGAATGCAAGACCCAGTGGGGTGGAATTCAGTATCAGGGATTGCAATGTTTTCTGTTGTTGTTGTTTTCTATTACAGAATATAATAAAATAATTATACTTTGAAACACATGGTCAATACTTATAATTATGTTGAATATTTTAATGTTTAAAATGATTGTTTATTATGTTGTAGAGATACAAATAAGAACTTCATCCATTTACATTACAGTTCGATCAACTGCCAAAGATCTCCTAATTTCCTAATAAAATATAGAACAATTATAGTGAGAAGCCCAGGTTTCCTGAGCCTATATGTGATTGTACAGAGTTTCTAATGTATGGGAAAGAAACTATACCAAATCTCCAGCCTAAATTGGATTTGGGGGAAAGTGGAGGGAATCAACAACACCTCATGAATCTTGAAATTTCATTGAAATGATAAAAGATTATTATGCCATCTCTATGCATGTGCTACTCTTGATGTATGTTCATGAGACATAATGATACCTGTATAAAAGGGACCCAGCTTGCACATTTCCTCATTTGTCCTTCTTTCTGGATATCTAGTAGAAAGCAATGACAAACTACTTCCATTTTGTATCCAAGAAAACTCTACGGACAGGTTGATAAAGTCACCAGTTTAACTCATTATTGATAGAGACTATAAGTAAGTCTTTAAGTAGAAGTATAGGAATGCATTTATAATTTCTTGCACTTAATTCAACATTTGTTTGAACTACAGAGCCACTTGTGATAGTTTAGTTACAGACATCTGCTTTAGGCAGAATCCTTAAACACAAAAGTAGCCCAAAAGAGAAGAGTACACTATAACAAAATTGAATCTAAAAAGAGAAGATATCTGGGCTGAATTCTCACTGACACTTGAAGTTCCCTATTAACTGACAATATTTACAGCCTGTATTTTAAATATATTTTATTAAATTTCTACAGAAGCATGTGCAGTCTTGTTTTGTTATTTTTTATTAGGCCTGAATATCTTAGACATTGGTAGCAGCCAATTGTCTCTACATAATTTAGGATGTATACTTCTGTTCTTTTGACAAGCAATAGTAGTAACTAAGATGCTTAAGTAGTGATTAAGTACAGGTCAGGCTGTTACCTTTGATAGTTATTTTATTTCCTCCATTCCCTACTAGGATTGCTAGTAAAATTACCATTGTTTATTAGGTAGATGGAGGTAAAAAAGCACTATCATTACTGCATTATGGACAAAAGAATTCTCCAAAGAGAAAAAAAGCTAGAAAACGTTAATTTTTATGAAACAATATCAAAAACTTAATCTTCCTGACCTGGCAAGATCAACAAAAAGTAAATGTTGTCTAACATCTATAATCAGTTACCAAACTGAATAAAGAACAAAATATTGCAGTTTACTTCTTATCTCAGAAATACTTTTAGAGTTGGGAAATAATAATCTTAGGAACAGGAAGTAAAAGGAAGATGTAGATAGCATCTGGATGTGATAGTTCAGTACATTTTTTGTTCTTTGTTTTTTGCTTCAGTGTGGTCCTAGTGATGTGAGCCACAGTCTTCTGGATGTTGGGTGAGCAGCACTGTTTTGCAAGTTTGCTCATGGCTTGCATTGGGAGTTTTTCTGAAGCTATCGGAATTGGCTTGTGGTGACACAGATCCTGATAATTGGAAGAAAAGGAGAAGAATGTAGACTGTAACAGTTATTGCTACTAAGGGCCACATAGTATATCCATGCATGACCCTTGATTTGGCGCTCCTCTAGTCCCTTGATTTGGCGCTCCTTACCCTTATAATCAGTGGTGGGATTCAAATATGTGAACATTCGGTTCTCTGTGTGGATGCTGCTTCTGGAAGTCCATTCTGGGCCTGGGCAACAAAAAATTAGTTACCAGTTCTGCCGAAGTGGTGCAACCCGGCTGAATCCCACCACTGCTTGTAATCTGTTAGAACAAAGATTTTGCAGCTCCCATCATTGGCAACACAAAACATCAGTAATTCAGGCTTTGTACCTGCTGCTGATTTATTTCTCAATGACTTAGCAGCTAATTGTTAAATTTCTAGTGTACTCTAGCACTAGAGTTCATCATTTTAAACCAGGGGTCTTCAAACCTGGCCCTTTTATGACTTGTGGACTTCAACTCCCAGAATTCCTCAGCCAGGCACACTGGCTGAGGAATTCTGGGAGTTGAAATCCACAAGTCATAAAAGAGCCAAGTTTGAAGACCCATGTTTTAAACCCTTTAAATAACTGAAGAACCATAAAGTTAAAATTCAACTTATCAATCCAATGAATGTTTTCTAAAAGTTACTACGTAAAAGAAAATAAAAGAAAATGCAGTATATAATATCAAGTAGAATATGGCATGTATAGTAAAAAGGCCTCAAATTGTGCTTATTCTACTTTGCTGTGCCAGCATCTTGGCTTCAGTGAATTTCAAAGTAGCTGCTACATACAAGAACATAGAGAGAAAGCCTCTAGAGAAAAAGAAAGAATTGCTGCTGAATTCCTGTGTGTTGTGTCCTGAAATGGCTCATAGAAGGATGTCCCCATGCATAAGGGCTAACAGGGAGGCATCCCTAGACCCTAACACTACAGGAAGGAGCCAGGAAAATCACACTCCGTCAGGAAACACGGAGATGGGTTCAGAGGGGTTGGAAAACTCCATAGGTGGTAGGTATAGCGATCAACAGAGATCTGACTTCTCAAGCCTAGGAGACGG